TGCCGATTTGTATCAGCGTATTAGTGCCACTCGTTCTCTTCTACTCATGGTTGGTTTATGGCCTTATTATCAATCAAAGTTCACTCAAATTCAACGACTGTTAATCTTTAGTATTTTATCGAGCTTTATTGCATTTCAGGTATGTAAATATTTCTCGTTATAAATCTTTAAAGTTATTGCATTAAGAAGTAGTAACGTAAAGTAGTTACGTAAAGTAGTTACGTAAAGTTTGGGTAAATGTTCACTTTAGGGGAGTCATCTTTGATCACCTTGACCTTGACATATATTATAGAAGTCATTCTCCTGAATAACCTTGAGAAGGTTTTAGCCGTCGCTCATTGTTTGTTAAAAAGTTATTGATGAAAGAAGTTCGAAAAATATATTACAATTTTTCGATAATGTGTACCGTTAACGAGCAATATCGAATAATAACTGCAAAATCGAACAACTAGCGGGAGGCTGCGCCCCCCGCACTCCCCCTCAAAACTAACCTAACCCAACCTATCGTCACATTAACACAAAAGTTGAACACTTTAATAAACAATGACTGACGCTTAATGTGACGATAGGTTAGGTTAGGTTAGTTTTTAGGGGGGGTGCGGGGGGCGCAGCCCCTCGCTAATCGTTCGAGATTGTAGTACTTACTAAAAAAAAGTTGAACGTAATTTTTGCACACAGGGTATATTGCGCGGGTTTTGTTTTGATCGTATATACGATTTCAATGTTGATAACCATGTTATGATCATGTTTTGACACACACTACCATTGTATGTTGATCGAATCGAATCGATAAATTTTTTGAAATTTTGGCTCATTTCTATCCACTTAGCGGAAATTTTACTGAATAAATTTATTATAAATATTAAATAAATAATTTTTTCAATATAATTTATTTATCCTGTGCACTGTTTATCTTATCTTTATGTACACCGTGTGCAAAAATTACGATCAATTTCTAAAACATTTTTTGTTAATAACTTTTTAACAAACAACGAGCGACGGCTAAAACCTTCTAAAGGTTACTCAGGAGGATGACATCTATAATATATGTCAAGGTCAAGGTGATCAAAGGTGACTCCCCTAAAGTGAACATTTACCAAATTACGACCAAAATTCCTATATACTTATTTAAAAAATATTTGACTTGTTACCACAAAATATAATTCCAATTGCTATAAAATTGTAATCTCTAGCGATTTTTGAATAGTAAATTTCTATTTGCTCCCACTGTGCGACGTCACAAATACTCATCTACCGTATTGCGCGTGATAATTCACCAATCTTCTTTAATTAATACGTCGAGATTTATTGCGAATATTGCAAATCGGTACGTAACTTTTGTGTTCACTTCAATCCGTTCTCCGTTCTAACAAAAATTGTGGATAAAAGTCTGAGACGCCGTATATATATAATGTACTCCGGAGTATCTTTTAATACTCCTAATAATATTGCATTATAATTATAATCTTCTAATTATGTTCTTATGTAAAAAAAACGAATATTTATTCTCGATTATCAACAAGTGTTACACGAATACAGCAATTTCTTATTATGTTCTAACAAAAAATTCATTACTTTCAGTTTACAACGTTTGTGACTGCAGAATGCACTCCTTATTTCATGATTAAACTTTTTTCTTCAGTATTACTTTTTATTGTTTGCTTATTCATCTATACCTCGTCCTGGTTTCATATCTCGAATGTGAGTTGCGCCTTTACCATAACTGCTAATAGTTAATAAGTATATTCAATAAGTTTAAAACCGCACACATAATTTCTTGCCAAAGTTCACAATAGCGAAATTAATTTTTATTCACATAACAGATAAAATATTTACTGGAGCAAATTCAGTATATTTGTTATTACCTTAAAGACGAGAACGAAATCTCTATTACTGATAAATACGCGTCCAACGCAGAACGCAACTCAAATAGATTTATATGTAAGACAAAGTTTGATGTTTTCTAATATACATTGCCAAGTAAAATATGTCAAATTTTCGATAAATATTGAGTGATTAACAACATTGTTGCACTAAAGTATCTATGAAATTTTGATAGATTCCCATATCAGATGAAACATAGTTGAAATAAACTTTAATGAACTAATTTTTTTTAAATTTTCTTTTCTTTATTTCGATTATTTTCACTTTTTACTTATTTATTATATTTACTAATTATATTTGCTATTATATCATATTTGCTATACTTAATTATATTTGCTATATTTATAATAATTTCATAAATTAACTAATCTCCCTTTATTGATTCTTAATACAACTTAAGAGTTAATAAAAAGTCCACATGTGCAGCGACTATGTATTTAAGAATTATGTAAACTATCGATTTACAAAATCTTTTTAAATATTTTTAGTAGTTGGGATTATATTTCTTGTTCTCGTTCATCCAATGTGGCCGCATATCCTCGATCGTATTTTTCTCATAAATAACACTACTTCCCATCGTACAATATTGATTATAACTGAGTATTTTGTTGACCAAAAAAAATATTTGTATTTCATAATGCTGCATATGTATGTAGCCTGTTGTATATGTGTAATTTCGGCGATGGGGATTGGCACGATTTTTATAATATGTTCGGAGCATGCTTGTGGAATGTTGCGAATCGCCAGGTATGAAAAAAACTAAAGAATGAGTACACACGTTTGGAATTTTCAGACAAAATCTTACTTATTAAATATCTGTTATTTAATATCTCTGAAGAATTCATCTACGAAAGGGAGTGATAGAGAGAGAGAGAGAGAGAGAGAGAGAGAGAAGGAGAGGGAGAGGAAGAAAAATATAATTAGGATAATGGAATTTTTTACAGTTACCGTATCAGGCGAGCAATGGAGATTGATACTCGACAACAGGTTAAGCAGAGTTGTCGATTTATAAAGCAGGAAATCACGATTTATAAGGGCATTCTTTTCGCCGTTGATATTCATCGAAAAACTTTAAAGTTGATATTTATATAATAATAAATATATATGATAATAACATTAATTAATATTAATATTTTTTAATTGTTTCAGTTTTTGCGAATTTATGGTATCTAGGTTTAAATTTACACTGTGCTTCTCGGGAATTCTCGATGTGATATGTTTGAGCTTCAATATGTTTCAAGTGTGTTTCATTATAACCCGCAAACTATTCTGTCTCATATTACAGCACCTCAACGCACCACACATAATTAAACATATCTAATAAATTTATCACGGTGACATTTCAGGTTTTTCAAATTGTTACGTTCGGTGGTAAGATCGAAGAGTTCATGTTGCATTTAGCATACATAATTCCCATTCTTGTATACATGTTTATTATTAATTACTTGGGCCAAGAAATTACAGATCACAATAACAATATATTTCTCAGCACGTAAGCAATATTGTACAAACAATGTCATGATTTGAGACACCGCTCTGCAAATTTATGATAAAGTTAAATTTTACACAGAAAATATTTTTTATAATATATTTTGCATTCTTAATAAATTCTTTTATTCTTCTCAATCATGAGCTAATAGTTCAGTCTTTCTTTTGTAGGTACAATACTTGTTGGTATATGGCACCATTAAGTATACAAAAATTGATATTATTGCTGTTGCAAAGAGGCAATAAACCGTACACATTGTCTGCCGCTGGATTATTTGTTGCATCTTTACAGTTTTTTGCCAAAGTAAAGAACATAAGATATGTACCTTAACGTGGAATATTTTAAGTAAGACAACAATAAAAATAAATTTTTTTGTTACAGTTGACGAATGCATCGTTATCTTACTTTACTGTTATGTACAGCGTCCAGAAATCATAAGAAATCATGTTGTAAATATTCTAATATCTCCACTAAATATATATATGTATGTATCTATAAAAAAAGATACCCCTTTCCTCTCTGACTGTGTCCAATTGATCTTCCAGCAAATTGTGTAGTCTTGTAGAAGGAAATTTATTAAAAGATATAATTTTGATTTGGTGCTAATAAATATCAAAGTCATGTTTAGTTTGATAATATCTTTCACGTTTCAACGAATTAAATATTTAACTTTAGGCGAGATAAAGTCTGTTAGGCTAAGGTGATGAAGTATCTAATAGTTCCAGAAACTTTCAATTCATTTCAAGGTCGAAATCAACATAGTACTTGCGTTGATCATAAAAAATAAATAAAATGTGAGTCAAAATATATTTTTATCGGGACAGTCAGCTGATGTTGTAAAAAATATAATTGATAAAACCTATCTCTTTATACTTTCACTTCGGCTCCTCTCAAAACCGATTACTACGCAAACTCGTAAGTAGTAGCTTGCAGTAGTGGTCACTTGATACGTTTCTAACTTCATCATAAAAAATGTGTTCAAACTACTTCCTAAGCAATTGTACATTCGTCGTAGCAGAACAGTAATTTGTAATTTTTCAAATGAGTTTGTCAACTCTCTGTCCAAGGGAAGAACTTTACCATTGTCAAAACAAGTTCACACATTCATCAAAAAATTACAGAAAATCTACTTCACCGACGATGTTCCTATAAGTGATAGCACAGTAAAATCGATCAAACGACGTTTCTGTTCGCAATCCGAGATATGTACTTCACGAATGCACACTCTACAATGAGAGACGGGAATCCGCGATTCTGAAGAAGGCCGATTGCGCTTGCGCGGACTTCAATCGAAATATTATTTCGCGCTTGTTATTTCAGATAAAACAAAAAACCGTTAAATTTCGTCCGACGAGTTGAATGTTTCACTGGCGAATTAAATTACGAATGTTCCGAGTTTTATCGCAATAATAATAGTTCATGCCGCCTTTCGCGTTTCTTTCATAATGTGTCATTAGATACTACGCGGTTAAAGAGAAGTTCACGCTCCAAAAGAGAAGTTGCAAAAATATTCGATAAGGGCTATACGAAGAAAACGCAAAGGAGAAGAATACGCGAAATTTTGCGGACGTTCCCACGGTCAGATGTGTCCCGATACTCACAAAAAGATGAATTGTATCAAGATTCAGCACTTTAGTCTCAATCGAATTCTTTTGCTTATAATTGACTTATAGCCTTACCAATGATTAAGACTCGTTCCATTTCAAATAATCCTTGTTACTGCTATCATGACGAGTTTCATTATATTTCAGATACGCCGATATTCTTCGTCGTTAATATCTTACTCAAAATAACGGTGAAATGAATATAACGTCGGAGTTTGTATTACTAAAAATAGTTAAAGCGTCATTCTAAAACAATTTATTTCGCGAAAACTGCCAACACTTCAAAAGAAACATAACAGATATGTTTGAAATGTTTGAAATGTCAAAAATATTTGAAAGTATCCGTGCTTTAACACTTTTTGCGTCCTTACAATTTTGAGAGCGACATTTACTAATATTAAAAATGCGTAAGCAACGCGTATTATATTTTATATTTTATATAAAGTGTTCCCCATGTCATAATACACGATAAAACACATTCGACGGAGCAACGTTCTTTTCAACGCGAACGACCATGTGTACCTTACGAATGTACACACCATACTGCGGCACGCGAGACGACGAGGCTAGAAAAGGGCGACTACGCTTGCGCGATCTTCGATCCAAAAATTACTACATGGTTGCCAGGCTAAAGAAAATAAACATCCGTTAAATTTCATTCGGTGCGAAAGCAATTGCTTAACTGCCGACTCTTATCCTATCAAAGTTATATTGCGAGAGTACTCAACTCACAAAGTTCTTATGTTTCTTTACACTGCATTCACGCATATTTAGATAGTTTTCGTGGAATAAACGTTTAGAAAGAACAGATAAAATTAAAGAAGAAATTAAAGAAAAATGTTAGAAAAAAGTGCCTAGGTTATGGGTAGATCATTACGAAAGGCCAAGCAAACTGTTTCTACTTCTCTACGGTTAAACGCACCTCAACTGTCGCCAGAGAGAATGAGTGCCGATTTGTATAAGAGGATTAGTGCCACTCGTTCTCTTCTACTCGTGGTTGGTTTATGGCCTTATCATCAATCAAAGTTCACTCAAATTCAACGGCTGTTAATCTTTAGTATTTTATCGAGCTTTATTGCATTTCAGGTATGTAATTATTTCTCGTTATAAAACTTTAAAGTTATTACATTAAGAAATAGTTACGTAAAAGATTATGTTAAAAATATACGGCAAATTGAAAAAAATTCCAATAAATCTATTATCATGTAAGGTCATACAAAATTATGGCGAAAATTCCTATATATTTATTTAAAAAATATTTAACTTGTTACTAAAAAATTATTGCAATTGTTCCAATATTTTTTTATATAGTATATATATATATATATATATATATATATATATATATATATATAGAATAAAATTAAAGAAGAGATATTAGAAAATTAAAGATTTGTGCATTATTATGCATAATCATTTAATAATTTTCTTTCATTAATAACTAAAAATCTAAGCGGTTATTTGTAAAATCATATAAAATGTTTTTTGTTAAATTTAACCTAATATATATGTATGCAATGGCAAACGATATCACAAATATTCATCTACCGTATCGCGCATGATAATTCACTAATCTTCTTTAATGAATATGTCAAGATGTATTGCGAATATTGCAAAACAGTATGTGACTTTTGTATTCACTGCAATCCGTTCTACGTTCTTACAAAAATTGCGAGTGAGAATATGCAACGCTCAAACACACACACACACACACGCACACACACACACACACACACACACACACACACACACACACATATATATATATATATATATATATATATATATATAATGTATCTCGATATATTTTTTAAAACTTCTAATACTAATGCACTATAACTATTATCTTCTCATCCCATACTTACGTAAAAAAAAGAATACTTATTCGCGATTATCAACAAACGTTATAAGCAATTTTTTATTACGTTCTAACAAAAAATTCATTACTTTCAGTTTACAACGTTTGTGACTGCAGAATGCACTACTTATTTCACCATTAAACTTCTTTCTTCAATATTACTTTTTATTGCTTGCTTATTTCTCGATAGCTCGTTCTGGTTTCATATCTCGAATGTGAGTTACGCTTTACAATAAATTGCTCAATAATTATATCCAATAGTTATATCCAAGTTAAAAATTGTACACATAACTTCTTGCCAAAGTTCACAATAACGATATTAATTTTTATTCACACAACAGGTAAAGTATTTACTGGAACAAATTCAGTATATTTGTTACTACCTCAAAGACGAAAATGAAATCTCTATTATTAACAAATACGCGTCCAGCGCAGAACGCAACTCAATTAGAATTATACGTAAGACAAAGTTTGATGTTTTTTAATACGCACTGCCAAGTAAAATAGGGAAAATTTTCGACGAATATTGAGGGATTAACTACATTGTTGCACCAAAGTACCTTTGAAATTTCGATAAGTTTTTATAGAATATCAGATGAAGGTTATTGAGATATATTTTAATAAAAATAAATTAATTACCTAAATTAATTTTCTTTTATTTTGTTTTCTTTATTTCTATGGTTTTTTATTTATTTATTATATTTTTGATAACTTCATGAATTAATTAATCTCCCTTTATTGATTCTTAAGAGTTAATAAAAAGTCTACAACTTAAGAGTTAATAAAAAGTCCACATGTGCAGCGACTATGTATTTAAGAATTATGTAAACTATCGATTTACAAAATCTTTTTAAATATTTTTAGTAGTTGGGATTATATTTCTTGTTCTCGTTCATCCAATGTGGCCGCACATCCTCGACCGTATTTTTCTCATAAATGACACTACTTCCCATCGTACAATGTTGATTGCGACTGAGTATTTTATTAACCAAGAAAACTATTGGTATTTCATAATGCTGCATATGTATGCAGCCTGTTGTATATGTGTAATATCGACGGCGGGCACTTGCACGATTTTTGTAATATGTTTCAAACATGCTTGTGGAATGTTGCGAATCGCCAGGTATAAAAAAAAAATAAATACACACGTTTGGATTTTTAAAACATCTTACTTAATATCTCTGAAGAATTGATCTACGGAAGAGAGTGAAGGACAAATAAAGAAAAAGTGAGAGAGCAAGCGGGAGGGAGAAAAGAAGAGAGAGAAATATAATTAGTATAATGGAATTTATTACAGTTACCGTATCAGGCGAGCAATGGAGATCGATAATCGACAAGAGATTAAGCAGAGTTATAGATTTATACAGCAGCGAATCACGATCTATAAGGGCATTCTTTTCGCCATTGATATTCATCGGAAAACCTTAAAGTTGATATTTATATAACAATAAATATATATAATATTAATATGAATTAATATTAATATTTTTCAATTGTTTCAGTTTTTGCGAGTTTATAATATCCACGTTTAAAGTTACAATGTACTTCTCGGTAACTCTCGCTGTGACGTGTTTGACCTTCAATATGTTTCAAGTGAGTTTCGTCTCTTCCATAATTATTCCGTTTCACATTTCGGTATCACAACGGACCAGACATAATTAAGCATACTTAAAAAATTTATCACCGTGACATTTCAGATTTTTCAGATTGTTACATTCGGTGGTAAGGTCGAGGAGTTCTTCTTGCATTTAGCATACATAATTCCCATTCTTGTATACATGTTCATTATTAATTACTTAGGTCAAGAAGTTACAGATCACAATGACAATGTATTTCTCAGCACGTAAGCATTGTATAATCGTTCTCGTGATATATGAGACGCCGTTCTATAAATTTAAGATGAAATTAAATTATGAAGAAAATATTTTATACAAATCTTAGTAAATTTTTTTATCTTTCTTAATCATGAATTCATAGTTCAATACTTCTTTCGTAGGTACAATGTTTGTTGGTACACAGCACCACTCAATATACAAAAATTGATATTATTGCTGTTGCAAAGAGGCAATAAACCGTACACCTTGTCTGCTGCTGGATTGTTTGTTGCATCTTTAGAGTTTTTTGCCAAAGTAAAGAGCACAGCATGTATACTTTAACGTGGAATATTTTAAGATATAAACAAAAATAAATTCTTTTGTTACAGTTAACAAATACATCGTTATCTTACTTTACTGTCATGTACAGCGTCCAGAAATGATAAGAAATATCATGTTGTAATAAAAATTCTAATATTTCTACTAAATATATATATATATATATATATATATATATATATATACATATATATATATATAAAAGATAGTCTCTTTTCCCTGCGACTGTATCCAACTGATCTTCTAGCAAAATGTATAGCGTTGGAGAAAAAAATTTTTGATGTAATTTTGATTTGGTGTTAATAAATTTCAAAGACAAAATTAGTTTGTTAATATCTTTCACGTTTCAACAAATAAAATATTTAACTTTAGGCGAGATGAATTCTGTTAGGCTACGGTGATGAAGTATCTAATATGTCGAGAAACTTTTAATTCATTTCAAGGTTGAAATCAACGTAGCACTTGCCTTGATCATAAAAAATAAATAAAATGTAAGTCAAAATATATTTTTATCGGGACAATCAGTTGATATTGTAAAAAATATAATTGATAAAACATACCTTTTTATACTATCACCTCGGCTCCTCTCAAAACCGATTACTTCGCAAACTCGTAAGTAGTGGCTTGCGATAGTGACCACTTGATATGCTTCTAACTTTATTATAAAAAATGTGTTCAAACTACTTCCTAAGCGATTCATGGTAGCAGAATAGTAACTTGTAATCTTGTCCAAGAAGAGAATTCTGCTACCGTCAAAAGAAGTTCACAAATTCATCTAAAAAATTACAGACAATCTTTCTGTCCACAGCAATGCATATTAAGACGGATTAATGTTGCTTGAAAGGACGAGAAACAATAATCACGAAAAAATTTAGTAGATAAAGGTCACTGTACTAACCCGCTTGTGTTTTAACGCGGCACTGGAATGTTAAATTTAAAAATCGTTCTTTGTTCTCGAAGATTCAAACAAGCTCCTCTAGTTCACCGGTTTCCATAAGTTATACAACATTAAAATCGATCAAACGCCGTTTCTGTTTGCAGTTCGAGGTATGTACTTCACGAATGCATACTCTACAATGAGACGCGGAAACCTGCGACGATGCAGAAGGCCGATTGCGTTTGCGCGGTTGTTGTTTCAAACAAAAAACCGTTAAATTTCGTCCAACGAGTTCAAAGTTTCACTGGCGAATTAAATTACGAGTGTTCCGAGTTTCATCGCGATAGAGATAATTCATACCGCCTTTCGCGTTTCTTTCATAATGTGTCATTAGATATTTCCCGGTTAAAGAGAAATCCGCGCACCAAAAATGAAGTTGCAAAAATATTCGATAAGGGCTGATCAAAGAAAATGCGAAAGAGAAGAATACGCGACATTTTTCGAACGTTCTCACGGTCAGATGCGTCCCGATGCTCACGAAAAGATGAATTGTATCAAGATTCAGCACTTTGGTCTCAATCGAATTCTTTTGCTCATAATTGACTTATAGCCTTACCAATGATTAAGACTCATTCCATTTCAAATAATCCTTGTTACAGCTATCACGACGAGTTTCATTATATTTCAGATACGCCGATACTCTTCGTCGTTAATATCTTACGTAAAGTAACGATGAAATGAATATAACGTCGTAGTTTCTATTAGAGATAATAGTTAAAGCGTCATTCTAGAACAATTTATTTCGTGAAAACTGCCAACACTTCACAAGAAACGTAACAGATATGTTTGAAATGTTTGAAATGTCAGAAATATTTGAAAGTATTCGTATTTTAACGTTTTCTACGTTATTACAATTTTGAGAGTGACATTTATTAACGAATATTAAAAATGCGTAAGCAACGCGCATTATATTTTATATATTATATAAAGTGTTGCCCACGTCATAACACACGATAAAACACATTCGACGGAGCAACGTCCTTTTCAACACGAACGAACATGAGCACTTGAAGAATGTACACACCATACTGAGGCACGCGAGACGACGAAGCTGAAAAAGGGCGACTACGCTTGCGCGGTCATCGATCCAAAAATTACTACATGGTTGTCAGGCTAAAGAAAATAAACATCCGTTAAATTTCATTCGGTGCGAAAGCAATTGCTTAACTGCCGACTCTTATCCTATCAAAGTTATATTGTGAGAGTACTCGACTCACAAAGTTTTTATGTTTCTTCACACTGCATTCACGCATATTTAGATAGTTTTCGTTGAATAAACGTTTCGAATGAAAAGATAAAATTAAAGAAGGAATTAAAGAAAAACGTTAGAAAAAAGTGCCTATTTTATGGGTGGATCATTACGAAAGGCCAAGCAAACTGTTTCTACTCCTCTACGGTTAAACGCGCCTCAACTCCCGCGAAGAGATAATGAGTGCCGATTTGTATAAGCGTATTAGTGCCACTCGTGCTCTTCTACTCATGGTTGGTTTATGGCCTTATTATCAATCAAAGTTCATTCAAATTCAACGACTGTTAATCTTTAGTATTTTATCGAGCTTTATTGCGTTTCAGGTATGTAAATATTTCTCGTTATAAATCTGTAAAGTTATTGCATTAAGGAATAGGTACATAAAAGGTTATGTCAAAAATATACGGCAAATTGAAAAAAAATTTCAATAAATCTGTTATCATGTAGGATCATACAAAATTATGGCCAAAATTCCTATATATTTATTTAAAAAATATTTGACTTGTTACCACAAAATTATTGTAATTGTCCGAATATTTTTTTTATATGGTATATATATATGGTATAAAATTAAAGATATTAGAAAATTGAAGATATTAATTAGAGAAGATTTGTACATTATTGTACACAATCATATAACAATTTTCTTTCATTAATAACTAAAAATGTACACAGTAGATATCTATTTGTAAAATGATAAAGAATTATTTTTCCGTTTAACTTAATGTAAAAATATG